CTCTCTCTCTATATCTATTCTCTCTCTTCTCTTCTCTCTCTCTCTCTCTCTGTCCACATATCCGTTATATGTTTGTGTCTGTGTCTGTGCCTGTGCCTGTGCCCGGCATGTGCTTTTGTCTATGGTCGTGTCTGAGTCTTGCTTCTGTGTCTGTATCTGTCTGTATCTGTGTCTGTGTCTTTGTCTGTGCCTATGTCTGTGTCTGTGTCTGTGTCTGTGTCTGTGTTTGTATCTGCGTCTGCGTCTGTGTCTGTGGTCTGTGTCCGTGTCTGTGTCTGTGTCCGTGTCTGTGGCTGTGGCCGTGTCTGTGGCTGTGGTCGTGTCTGTATCCATGTTCATGTCCATACCTATGCCTATGTCTACATCTGTGTATGTGTCTGTGTCCGTGTCGTACGCTTACATGATACTCATGAGCATCATATAAGTACCGGTACCGGTGCTTAGGTACGGTACTCTAAGTACCAAGTACTAAGTAAACCGGTACTTAGAGTACCGTCAACATCATTGTGATTTAGTATTACCACATTAGTATTACAACATTAGTATCACAACATTGTGATATCGTATTACCAACACCTCCCGGTAAAATGAATGTCGTCAACTCACTGCAGGAGCTTTTACTGACTGACTGCTTTGCCCCGAAGCGTAAGGTTCAAAACATTTCATCGACAGGCCCACTGACTTGGGTCTGACCTGGCGTATTTATTAGCTTTGAGGTCGTTTTCACAACTAACTAATAGCAACGAGTTCAATTAGGCACACCACATTTATGCTGCACGCTTAATAACAAATTACAAATGACGTGAGCCCATAATTGCAAACATGAAATTGACGGGTGATTCCTGTCACTTAAAACACTATAGCTTGGCCATCAGACAACGTTACAAAACTTTAACTTTTGGTGAAAACGGCTTGCATTTCCCTACTTTGTCTGTTTAAGCAGCACCACCGTGGTGACAGTCCTTCCTACCTTTCGCAGCCCATGCTCACCCAGCTGTGCTTTCTGCAGAGTTATGACAGGAATTGTCGACTCTACAGCCTGGGAAAGCGAGCTGACTGACGCCCGGTAAGTGTTACGCAACCTCCTTCACGCATCCGTCATAGCAATCGGGTGACGTTTTGATTACACGGCTGTAAAAAGGGCGCTCTGTCTTTGCAACATAGCAGGGTCGACCCTTGACCGCTTACAGCCGAATATTTACAGCGTCAGCTAGTCAGTCAGTCCGGTAAACAGGGGACGTCTCGGCGGCCAGCAGCCGGCTCCTGGTTATCGGTAGTCAGTCAGCCGGTCCGGTAAACAGGGGACGTCTCGGCGGCCAGCAGCCGGCTCCTGGTTATCGGTAGTCAGTCAGCCGGTCCGGTAAATAGGGGCCGTCTCGGCGGCCAGCAGCCGTCTCCTGGCCACCGTCAGTCAGTCAGCCAGTCCGGTAAATAGGGGCCGTCTCGGCGGCCAGGCAGCCGTCTCCTGGCCACCGTAAGTCAGTCAGCCAGTCCGGTAAATAGGGGCCGTCTCGGCGGCCAGCAGCCGTCTCCCTGGCCACCGTCAGTCAGTCAGCCAGTCCGGTGAATCGAGGACATCTTGGCGGCCAGCAGCTGTCTCCTGGTCACCGTCAGTCAGTCAGCCAGTCCGGTAAATAGGGGCCGTCTCGGCGGCCAGCAGCCGTCTCCTGGTCACCGTCAGTCAGTCAGCCAGTCCGGTGAATCGAGGACATCTTGGCGGCCAGCAGCTGTCTCCTGGTCACCGTCAGTCAGTCAGCCAGTCCGGTAAATAGGGGCCGTCTCGGCGGCCAGCAGCCGTCTCCTGGCCACCGTCAGTCAGTCAGCCAGTCCGGTAAATAGGGGCCGTCTCGGCGGCCAGCAGCCGTCTCCTGGTCACCGTCAGTCAGTCAGCCAGTCCGGTGAATCGAGGACATCTTGGCGGCCAGCAGCTGTCTCCTGGTCACCGTCAGCCAGTCAGCCAGTCCGGTAAATAGGGGCCGTCTCGGCGGCCAGCAGCCGTCTCCTGGCCACCGTCAGTCAGTCAGCCAGTCCGGTAAATAGGGGCCGTCTCGGCGGCCAGCAGCCGTCTCCTGGTCACCGTCAGTCAGTCAGCCAGTCCGGTGAATCGAGGACATCTTGGCGGCCAGCAGCTGTCTCCTGGTCACCTTCAGCCCAGCGCGATGCCGTCAGCGGCGCTATCTCCTCTGATCAGGTGACAAGGCCCTCCCCTCCGTGTCAGATACTGCTGACGTGGTTCCTGCAGTCCAGCGGACTCTGGCGGCTTGCCGACGCTGACGCGTATGCCACAGGTCATGATTATATGGGCGTTGCTTGCCGAGGAGCTGTTTTCACACGCGTTCTCGGCGTTGAGGCAGGGGGGATGGGAGACATTCACTTGCCATTTTGAGCCAGACGCAGGGATGGGAGGTGTTCCCTAGTCGTTTCTAGCGAGAGACAGGGGATGGGAGACATTCACTTGCCATTTTGAGCCAGATGCAGGGGATGGGAGCTGTTCCCTAGCCGTTTCTGGCGTGAGACAGGGGATGGGAGGCATTCACTAGCCGTTTTGAACCAGATGCAGGGGATGGGAGGTGTTCCCTAACCGTTTTTCTAGCGAGAGACAGGGGATGGGAGGCATTCACTAGCCGTTTCTAGCGAAAGGCGGGATGAATACGGGATCACAAACAACTGTGCGGGTTTACAGCACGGTTGCCTCTCTCGCCAAGCGAACAGGGATGGTGTCTGAATCGGATTCAGTACAGGTAATTGACGCGTTACTAATATAACGGAGCGTCTGGTTAACCGGGCGACACATATCTCAGAGGGCGTAGGTATTTCTGAATGCCTTACTCTGAGACCTTATGGATAGAGGTGAACTAGCGCTACATGTCCGATCCTGTGAACAATCCCTGCCATACGCAAGCGCTTATGTCCTACGGTATGCGTATTTACACATATCCACGCGACCCCTAACATCGAATGTAAAACGAAGACTCAGGCATTGCCTGATTGCAAATTTGGTAAGCCGCATACAGTCTTGGCAGGATTTTTGTTTTGCGGCACACTTGAAATGCACTAGCTCATGCGCAGGCAGACGACCTGTAGCTATTCAAAAGGTTAAATTTTCTTGAATGTTTCAAGGAATGTAACAGGCGCAATGAGTGTCATCAATCATCCACAGTCATTGGTTTTAGCGTGCCACATATGCACGCGTCGTTTGCACAAACGTGTATGCAAGCTGGCAATGCTTAAAATAGGAACTGGCATTGAGCACTCCGGCACGAAAGCTTCCCCCCTCCCACCCACTTTTCTTCTGCAACGCGATCTAAAATGTGGAGAAAATCGCCCAAATGCTATTCAGCGTGTTTCATGGCTGTGGTGCCAGTCCGCCGCCGACTCACCAGGTTGGGTGTACACTCCACCGCGCTTGTGCTTCTTCTCGCGGTACCCGAGTACGACCAAGAGGGCCAGGCCAGCCAGCGCAGTCCAGAGGAGCCACATCCTGCCTTGGCGCCCTGTCAGGAGCACCTCCGGGCCGCTCCCGCCGCCCGCACCCTATCTTATCGACGCGCCCGGGGCGGCGGTCAGCGCGCGTTGACCCGCACGACCTCCGGCGCGCGGCGGGGGGTCGGCGGTCAGACCGCAGCGCGTCGCGTGCGGCGGCGCTCCGTCGGCCGCGGCAGCTCTGGCAGGCGTCGGCTGACGGCCGGAGCTCTGCGGGCGCGGGCTGCGCCGGGCCCAGCCCGGGCCGAGCTCGCGAGAGCGTGCACGTAACGACGCGGCAGTGGCGCTGCAGGACACGTCACCCTGCAGTTTCGAGCCCGAAGCAGCCGCGCGGCGCGGCCATCAAAAGTGCAGCTGAGAAGAGGTCGGCCAGCGCCTCTCACACTTTCACACCCTCTTCTCGCCAGACGTCACGTCAGCACCATAACTCGGCAACGGATGACTTGCGCCCGCTCTTTGACGACAGCCGTTCGGCCGCGTGCCAGCCTGCAATGTGACGTCATGGTAGGTCTGGCAAAGCGTCCACAAACAGCGTGCACCACTAGTGGCACTGGGAGCTGGCTCCTCTCGCCTGCGACACAGGCGTAACGCTTGGATTAGCAGTCGTCGCTGGGCACTCAGCTGAGCCGCCAGCTGACGAGGCTGGGCGAGGGTCGGCCCGTCCGCCGGCGGCTGACGGACACCCGACGCCTCGCCGATGCGGGCGTCACCACTGAGCCGGGCAAGGAGTCACGAAACGCGCGCTTAACCCACTCTCTTGTTTGATTGTTGTAAATGCCGCATAAGCGGCACAACGCCAGCCGTGTCTGGCCTGCATAAGCGGCACGGCCCAACTTGGATCGGCGTCCAGAGACAGGGCACAGATCACACGGACGGCCGCGTCTTGACCGCATTTACTGGACCACTTAACGGACCGCGCAAAAGAACAGTGGCTTAAAACACATCCTCCCAGTACTCATCGCCGCGGGCGCCGCCCCGCGTGACACGCGGCGGACCCCCGTGATGCGCGCGCGGCCGCCTCCAGCCAGCCGGGCACACGGATGGTCGACCGGCCGGCCGAGAGGCCGGATCAGCTAACCGTCCACACTCCCGGCTGACCGACGGGCCTCTCAGCTCACTGCCGGAAGCTCGTGCAGCGGCTGCCGCGGCTAGGAGACCGATATAAGTTAAAATTACGCATACTCAAACGCTACCCGCAGTCTCTCACTTATTGCTCCGGTACCGGTAGCCGGCGTTGCTGGCCATCCACAGCGCGCGGCATACTGGGGAGACCAAACCGAGCCCGATCCCAGCCAGGGCTGGAACAGTTGGCAAACAGGTCGCACCGCCGCAGACGACGTGATTCAGGGGCTGGGGTCAAGGTCAAAGGTCTCCGGACTGGACTGTCGGTCTGAACAATGTTGCTAGCAGGAGCCTGCGCATTTGCACCGGCCCATAAGCAGAGGAACAAACGGTGGACCCGTCCGCGACCAGTGGGTGACAGGCGGTGGACGCGTGCACAGAGCATTGCACAACGAGACGCCAGGGGAGCAACGCAGCTTATCTCCGAATCATAAGTCTGGGGCAGTCTTCCAACGAGCTCATTGCGGCAAAGCTACTGGAAGCGCGTGCACACTTTCAGAAGGTGCATTGCGCGACGATGCCAGACCGATTCTACTCAAGAGCCGAGTGAGATCACCTTCTCCATTGAGTCCACCCTCACGCTGGTCGAAAACTCCTCGCGCTTGTAATGAGCATTTCCACCGCGGGTAAACACGTGTATCTCTAAAAATGTATTGAAGATTTCAGAGCGCCGCCCGGTGAGACTCGTTGATGAAGAGGGTCTTGTCCTGAAGTTCGAGCCGTTGCTGGTAAATGGAGGCTCGTGCTGAGCCCACCTAGTTCTACCGAATCGGCAGATGATTTTGTTGCCTGGGTCGGGGAGATGGTGAGCCCGATCGATTTCTTTCGCGTTCAAGTTTTCATATTTCGGAGTGATTTGATTATCGTCGTGACCACTATTGCTCTGCGTTTTTTTCGCACTTGCTAGCTCTCAGTTGACTGAGCTTTGGCGTGAGCTGGGCCGGACAGGATCAGACATCATGTCTGGAATTAATTTCGTTCTTTTTGAATTTGTCTTTCAGCCGTTTTTATTGCCCGTCGAAGTTTTTTGCTCGAGGTTTGACACCTCTTTATTTATGAGCTCGGCATGTCCGTGCATGTCCTTGAACGAGTTTTTGGCATTGAGTTCATTGGCGATTTCCCTTTGATATTACTAACAATCCTGAATCTGCATCCGCAAATTGGCCACGACTGTATCAGTGTAGGACTCCAGCCTACGGCACAGACAGTCAAGGTCTCAGTTCGTGGCGGCCTCGCTCTGTAGCAGGACGGCGATCGCCAGATTCGGCCCCGATCACGTCTTGAACCTCCGAGTGCCGAGTTGTTGGGCATGGCGGCTGCTCTAGCGTGCTCAGCAGTAGCCTGACTGCCGTCCCACTTCTTGACATGTCGCTTACTGACCTCTGAGTCATGGCATGTTGTTTACCGCTGTCTGGAAAATGGGCTGAAGCGGAGGGGTCAACTTTGCTGTCCCTGTTGCGGCGCGGCACCTTCTTTAATCAGTAGTTTAGTCAGTCAGTCGGCATTCTCTTTAGTCAGTCATTGATGTGCTGTTGCGATGAGTCGCTGGCCGGCAGGTACCCTCAAAAGATCCTTGTCGCTAGCACACACCAGCGTCAAAGGCTGTATGCCTGTATAACTTACGTGGACACGGCCGCGAGCCGTCGTGCGCTCGTAAAGATGCATCCCCGGTGGACACATGGCCCAGGCCGACCCGCCGTCTCGGAACTCGGCCTGACCGATGCGGTCGCGGCGGAGGCAAAGGTCAAACTGTTTTTCGAGGATTTAACGTCATTGGTACATTTGCTTGCAACTGGAAATGACGGGGATGATTATATGCAAACGAATGTCGTGAGCAGTACCCTATCTTGCCTAACCACTTTCTCCGTCTTCGAAAGGACTTTTGATTGCATCTAAATGATATACTTGCCTGTCATCAAGTGCTAATGTTTGTGCCGAAAAAAGCCGGGGAACATCTTCAAATGAGCGCTTGCGAAATTTCAGCTCCATTCGACCACTGGGTACCTGAGGTTGTGTTTACAGCAAAGAGGAGAGAACGTGACAGTTGCTGGCGTCGCGCAGTCTCCTCGGGATGCGGTGATTTAAGACTGATGTATCATACCGACTGAGCGTCAGCACTTTTGTGGAATTCAACAAGTGTCCATTGCCTGTCATCTGTCATCCTTCTTCGGCCGTTTCGCACAGTTCCTTCCATGCTCCGCTGTGGCTTCTCATCGTTAACTTCACGCAACCCCCGAAGCTCTGCACAGCTTCTAGGGGATACCGTCCTGAAAACTGGATCTGGGGGTAAATTTCTTATTTTGCCCCTTCTCTTCCCCACCTGTGGCGACGGCTGTGTCGATGGCTTATGGAATTACGTGACATTGTCGCAGCTTTAATTGGCTTCTCCGCAGGGAGTAAGGCACATTTCGACACATCAGCAGACCAGCAATTTCTTAAACAATTATCCTAATGCATTCGGCACGGAAGAGCCGACTCGGTTTTTACCACCAGCACATCATTACGCGTTCATGATCCGCGGAATGAGAGCTGTGTGCTACATCCTGTACACACATACAGGGTTTCAGTAATGCACACGTGCGTCCGTCCGGCATCGCCGCAGATAACCTCACAGGCAGATACTAAAAAGATAGACGCGCCAGTTTCGGACGCTTGAGAATGTCACCTACACTACGCGCATTGCGCCAGCATTGGCGACGACTGACAGGTTCACGCCACGCCACGATGGCTGCGATAAGGGGGGGGGGGGGGGCGCATGTTAACGGGCCACACTGCGTCCGAGGCCACCGCTATCTGCGGCACCCGCGCAACCAAGGCCGTTATCGGAGGAACAGATGCCTGAGACAACCACCCGATTGGGATGAAGCTGCGGCGTTTGGTACGTGTAGGGGAATCTCCAAGCCCTGCGCGGGGCCTCTGCGTTGTCCACGGTCTTGATATGCGACACTGGAGACCCGTTCTCCATGGAAAAATGACGCCGTAGTTTAAGAGCTGCCGGGTTCGTTACCCCATTGTGAACAAGCTGTTAAGCATGTGAAAATACTACTATGGTATTTGTTGGCAACAGTCTTCCTGAACCATCAGCAGTACGACTATCATGGACTTACAAAGAGCCGGTTGATGCGGGTATATTTGCTGGTTAATGTGTCACGAACGCGTCACCTTGCGGATCCAAAAAACGATTCGCCGACTTCTATGCCTCGTCCTTGACAAAGCAAATCACGGACTTGGCGCGGTAATCCAGCTAGGCCACGTGATTAGCAAACTTAGCCTACTCTTACGCCGAGAACATACTTAAACGTTTTAGCCTTCTTGTAAGTGGACCTTCATTTCTGGCGGAGAGCAGTCCCCGGCTGATACGCGCTGATTTCAGCATTGTAGCCGGACTGGCACGGCACAGAGCCCGCCACCGACCCAGCGTGGTATCGGAACTCGCTGGGGACGGAGACGGAGCTGATGCAACATCGGCTGATAGGTCGAGCACGGAACAGGCTCAAGGACGAGCCCTCGTGTGTGTATACTGTCCGGCAAGTGGCACAACTGGTCGTGCTGACGGCAGTGATTTGTAAATCGGCACTGAAGAAACCGTTTCAAAGTCTGTGGTCAACACTTCTTATCAACCACTACATCGCGGCAGTTTGCACACTGTCGCGGAACCCTGAAAGCCTGTGTGGTTGCGGGAGAAATACGAGCCACAGCTCTGATTGGCTATACAAGTAGCGTTACACTGATCCATATGCATATATATATATATATATATATATATATATATATATATATATGTATATATACATATATATATATATATGTATATATACATATATATATATATATATATATATATATATTGTGTATGTATGTATAGCGCCTGTGATCTCACACAAGTGAGTTGT